ATGTACTAAACCAATGAGCTCTAGTCAATAAATGCAATAATGCATGCATTTTTAGACAGTAATTTAGCTATACCAAGCCAGATTATCAGCTCTATCATATTCTGCTTTGTAAGAGACTTTCCTGGCATCTACTCAGAGGGATGAAAGCACCACAGAGACCTGACAGTGGGAAGAATGGCAGACAGATCAGTGAAGGAAAGGTGGTTACAGAGTCCTTGACTGGCCTGCAGGACTGGGTGTAGTGTGTTTATTAAAGTCTTATTTAGGATAATCAGCCAGCTCAAACGTGCTCCTGAAATGCAAACCAGCTGAGCTGGCAAATGGCAAGAGGTCTCTGGAAGATGCAGGATACGTGTGATGTGGTGTTTGATCATGTTCAGCGTCAGTTGGGGAAAAACAGCCATGTGTTAGGAAGAGAGGGGTGATGGTGTAACATGTGTTCAGTGTCAGCTGGGGAAAACCGCTGTGTTAGGAAGAGAGGGGTGATGGTGTAACAGCAGTGCTGCAAAATACCAAGGGCCAAGGTTAAAGATGTGTCTGGCACCAGTGTCCCTTCGCTCACCTGAGGCCCCATGCTTGGCCAGATGGTGGCGGCAGGGATGGTGTGACTCTAGTCTTTTCCATTATGATTTCAGTGACTCCCTTCAACCCAAGTCATGGTTGTGGACAAGGAAGAGGAGGGCTTACTCACCATGACATTGATCATTGGCTGACCTTGTTTTCCTTATGCCCAGGTTGCTCTGCTTCTAGAAACTCCGTTCTCTGGGCTGAATTCACCTTTCCAACAGCTTTTTTGAAGGCTTGAGCCTGGTCCTCTCTTGGTTTCTGCTCTAGTCATGGCAAGGGTTGCACACACAAGTATATTTTCCTTTCCTCATGTCTCCAGAAATTGGTTTCTACCTCTTATTCACACCTGTGACCAGACTGGAGCCCAGTGATAGTTGCAAAGGCTGTCATTCACTCCTGGCACTCCTACCTGGTTTTAAGAAGCTGTTCTCCTATGCCATGAGCTCAGCACAAATTCTGGATTAAAAAAACAACCTCATTTCCCGTCGGGAGACAGCCTCTTTCTCCTGGCTGTAGCTTTTCAGAAGAATGAACGCTGTTACTGGTTGAGTTCACATGTAGAGATGGATGTGAGTCCATGTTAGTCTGTCTCAGTTTGACTAACGTTTGCTACCTACAAAATGAAAGGAGAAAATTAAAGTATTGGTCAAGCATAGTTTAAAATCCATGACAAGAAGTTCTAGGTGATGTTTTTTATTGATCCAAAATTACTGCTAATGTAATGAGTCCACATTTTTTGAAAGTGTTGATGTAATACTAGAGGGCTTTGGAATGAACCCCAGAGCAGAGGGTTTCAGATGGGAGCTCAAACCCCCAGCACCCTAAGGAGGCTGATGGCAGCTCAGAAGGTTTGTTCTCATGTGTTTTGTTGCTGCGTGCTGGGCTGTTGGACCTAAATGAACCGAAATGCAAAGCCCACTAAAGCACTGAGCATCTTTCTGTCAGCTGGGGGACCACGGATCAGTCCTTAGGTGTTCATCCAGCATGGGCTCTTGGTTTTTAACTATCAGCAGAGGAAAAAGTCAACTCAGTTTCTATCCTTTGCTAAATTCCAGTCAAAAGCTGAAAGTTTTGTAAACCTTCCCTAAAGTCAGCCTGAAAACATTACCAATTTTTTTTTATTGAGTTTGTTTTTAATAGATGACAACTAGAAGTGCTTATGAAGACCCAGGAACTAAAGCACACCCTACTATGCTGTTACAGCTTCCCATGATCTTTGTCTCTGGTTACAAAGCCACAGTTTTATTTCCTTTTCATTCCCCCTAACACAAGCAGGGCACTTGCCCCGTGCTCATGCTGCTCTTAGCTATCACAATTGCAAGTTTCGGTTCGTGTTGTCATCTGTGGCTGGATTACTGCTTTCTTCATGCTCATGTCACCAACACATACTCTTCCTAGTGAATGGAGTCTCATTTACCACCTGCTTGAGTGACATCTAAATACCACTTCTCCAGGACACTCTGCATCACTCTGCATGACTTTCTGGTTGAATGAGAACATGATCTTGGATTAGTTGACAATATGTACCTCTATATATGTCTATTTATTTTGGACTCTTTCTTACCAGCTCCTGCAGACCCCAACAGCATTCCCTTCTGCAGGGATTGTACTTGCATTTGATTTCACGTGTCATTTCCAATGACAGAATTGCATGACAGAAATTAAAAATCAATTAATTGTTCATGTTGTCTCATGTTACCTATGTTAAAACAAATAAGTTACACTAGGTGTTGGGTTTTTTCCTGAGTAGTCAGTACTCAGGAACGAAACCCACCCAGTTCTTAATAGTTCATCAAATTTCTGCAAGATTTTTCAATGTGTGAAGGTGTTGCACCTCATGCTATCAAGCTTGAAACTCTTCGCTCATGTTCCTCACCAAGTTCAACGCTTTCTTTTTTTGCCTTTTGTGATTCTTGCAAATATTTGCAGCATGTTTATTGTGGAAATGGAAAAGGGGCCCCAAAGAAAAGGCCCTGCTCTACTCGGTGATAGGCAACTGCTTTCACACTGAGATTGGTGTTGGCAGCAACTCAGTAGATGATGAGGGACAAAGAGATTGCTTTGAATTCTGAATATTGGTGTATTGCTGATTCATTTATATAAAACTTATGTTTCAAAAAGACCATGGTAATTCAAAGTATTAGTATGAATGAAATGCAGCAGATTTCAGGAATATTCTTCTGTAAAATCAACTAAAATAAAGGAAAAACAAATCCAATTGGCTTATTCATGTGTCCCTGTTCATCACAGGGGGGTTGGAACTGGATGATCTTTAAGGTACTTTCCAACCCAAACCATTGTATGATTCAGGATCAAATGACAAATAAAATTTCAGTCTGGTTTCTAATCCAAGAAACACAGAATGAGAATTGCTTTTAAATATTTGGCTCATTATGTACAGTGATTTTGGTAGCACATATCACTAAGGTCTACATCCAGAAAGGTATTTGGGCACATGCTTGCTCCTGGATTCCTGTGTGGATTTGTACCTCTGATCAGATTTTCAGCTCTGCTGAACATTTGTTAGTCCCATGACTTTCAGACAGACCCGGCAGGTGGGCAGCACACTGGAAATGAAATAATCTGAATTAAAAATGCATCATTAATTGGATTAATTCTGCCTTTTCTCACTTGATCGTGAACATATTTTATTTTCTCTCAAGTGTATCTTTCAACTCAAAATTGTTGCCCAGTCCATGACCACAGATAACCCTGTTCTGCAGCCCAGGAGCAGCTCTCCCTGGTCCCTTGGGCATTGCATCGGGGCCGCAGCTCCTGTCTGGAATCATGCTGTGCAATTCCCAAAAATGCTGCCTAAGCACCTTTCTCTCCCTGTCAATGTTCGACGTCTCGCAATGTAAAGTGACTTTGTAAAAATAGCACCTTCTTACTCAACAAATCTGCTCCCTGTGTGTCTTCAAGTCACATCTTCTTCCTTTACTGACCAAAATGAATGTCTGTTCTCGTCAACACAGTACAGCTGGGGAGAAGGGAGCTGTGTTTTACTTTCCTTCAAATATCAGCATCTAAGTTCTGATTGAAGAGCCTCGTGCCAGTTTTGAAGGCAAAGGAGGAATGTTTGGCTCTGAACTTTAAGGTGGAGTTGCTGAGTGACAGAAAAAAACCAAAACAAAACAGGTCTTTGGTTGGTGACCTGGAAATCTGATGTGGAAATCAAAATTCCTGCAATGTTCTTCCCCCAAGTTCAGAACATTTGCAGCAAAATGATAAGTGGCTGCTGCAGTGGTAGAGAGTGTTGGGAATTACATCCGTGGTTTTACTCAGTTTTGATTTGCCTGTATATAAAATATTAGCTACCTGTGCAAGTGCCTTGTGCTGGTTGTCTAACCTCCATTACTGTGTTTTAATCATCTGTTACTATTCAGAAAATATCAAATTATCCAAAACGATTTGCAGTTTGGTTTCCCCAATGCTCTCTCGATAAAGCTTGCCCTTTCATAAAGATTTTCACAAAATCTTTTTGTTTTGCAATTTTGACGTGAAAATCCATCATCTTCATTTGAGTGAAAGTTTTTAATTACAAATTTCAGAATTTGGAAAATAATTAGAGTTGGGTCAACAGTCTATTTCTCAGTGAGATCATCTCTGTTTCTGGAGAGATCTTCTTTTCAAACCATAATTACAAGGTTTTAAAGAAATGGGATCCTAAGAGGAAAAGAACAATAAAATACCATATTCTGAAGCTGTGAAATTTTGCTTTGCATGTTCATGATACTCGTTGCAGGCCTGCAGATAAATGTTAGCTAGCTTTGAGATTGAATTTTTATAGGATACAAAGGAGTTGCATATTTAAGTGTTTGTATTTAAGTATTTAAATATATGACTGGAAAAAAAGGAACTATTTGGGAGATATAAAAGTGGCAGATCACATTTTAGGAGTAAGGAAATACTGGAGCTGAAGAAAGGGGAAGGACAAGTCTGAGCACCAGAAGTGAAGTGTTTCCAAGAAAGTTAAAAGTTTCAGATAAAGGCTTTTTTAATTGGTATTTTCTTATTAGAAATAGGGTTTTGGAAGGTGGTTGTGAAAGAAAAGCTTCCTTGCTCGTGATCGGAGCTGATCAGTGATTTAAGGAATCATAACCTCATTGTTTAACGTCATTCTGTCCCGCCAGCCCTGGCATCCCATGAGGGGCTTCTGTTTAAGTCCTCATTATTTTCTCTCTCTTAATTATCATTTCCATTTCACTCATTATGGCAGAAACATTTCTACAATGCTTTCTTTAAAAAAAAAAAAATAAAATTATATATATATTAAAATAATAAAAAGAAAAGCCAACAGCAAACTACATCTCACTGCTGCTTGGAAGTGCTCTTGGTTTCTAATGGCTGGTGGGGAAGGACTGCGTGGTTTCCAGAATGACTCCTCCTGCTGTCTCCTTTTTGTCTTTGTTTCAACGTGTTTCTCTGAACAGTCAGAAGGTCAGTTTGAAAGATCGTGTCTTCTCCAGTCCCCGCGGTGCTGGCACCAAAGGGAAAGGCTCTCCACAGGCTCAGGGCATCCGGAGATCCCCCAGCGCTGACCAGAGCATTGAGGACAGCCCAAGCAAAGTGCCCAAGAGCTGGAGCTTTGGAGACCGCAGCCGAGCCCGGCAAGCTTTCCGCATCAAGGGAGCAGCATCGCGGCAAAACTCAGAAGGTGAGGATTGGGGTGCCATGCTGGACCTCAAATCCCCCCTGGCCTCAGCATCTCCCTCCCCATCCAAGAAGGGCAGAGCTGCAAGCCAGGGTGCTCAACTAGGTCTCTTTCCCCTTCCAGTCCTTTGGCTTGGATATAAGAGTAGAATAAGAGATAAAAAACCCTACTGACACCCACGATAATGTTTTATTTCTGTGGAAGTGGGGAAAGAAAGAAGATTTGGGCATCTAGAGATGGATGAGAGCTGCAGTCGGCATTGCTGGATGTCACCTTAATGCATCTTGGGCAGTGCTCTCATTGAGACACTCAGCAAAGATCTCTGGTGCTTCCCCTGATGTTACTGTTTGCCATTCGACTCACCTTTCCTCATGCGGCACCATCATGGGAAATAGTAACGTGTTGTCTTTATTCTTCCCTCTCCCAAACCCAGAAGCAAGCCTGCCTGGAGAAGACATTCCTGATGAGAACAAAAGCTGCAACTGCGAGTTTGTGACAGAAGATTTGACACCGGGTCTGAAAGTCAGCATCAGGGCAGTGTGGTAAGAGAGGGAGAGCGGGGAAATAGTCCAGAAAAAATAAAATATAGAAGAGAGAGAGAGAAAACCCAAGGAAATTTAAAGTCCAAGCAGAGGTGGCAAATGCTGAAGTGTCTGTGCCGCAGGCTGTTTTTCCCCTGGGTGGCCTGTCCTCCTTTACAGAAAATTCTGCCAGAAAGAGTAATTTTTGCTGAGGGAAGGCAAAACCAGAGAAACAGGAAAATCCCCTGCGGGGATGCATCCAAATGATCATTCTCAACAGCTTTGAGATTTAATGCTGACATTTATAAAAACCATGCAGAGAGGACACTCACACAGCTGATAGTCCAAGGGGCATCGGGGACCCCCCAGTTGCAGACAGGGCTTCAGCCACGAACTCCTGCCATCCCCTTCCCCTCTCCTATTGCCGCATTCTCTCCCAAACCCACAGGGTTGGGATTTGTTCCATTTTCCTGCCGAAGCAGCTCCCTGCAGTGTTTTGTATCTGCCACTAAGCAGGTCAGGCTGCAGCCCAGGGACTATATTTTGCCTTTTCTCTCCATCTACTGCAGCATTATGAGATTTCTCGTCTCCAAGCGCAAGTTTAAGGAGAGTCTTCGGCCCTATGACGTGATGGATGTCATCGAGCAGTATTCAGCCGGTCACCTGGACATGCTTTCCCGGATTAAAAACCTTCAGGCCAGGCAAGAGACACCTCTCTTTGCTTCACTTTTTCATTGTTTTTTTTATTCATTGTGGGGGTAGTGCCAGGAGAGAGACACTTTCCTTTGCAGCTCCAACTTTTACATGCTTAAAAAGTATAAAGTACCTGGATTTGGGATCCAGGTCTACCAGACACCTTCACTGTTTTCACTGTCCCCACTGAGCAGGAGATCAGTGATGGTGATGGGAGCAGACCCCCTTTGGGGTCATCCTTTGAAGCATTCATCATCATAGGGTGCCAGATGGGCACCAAGAGGTCCAATGGCTGGTCACCTGCCCAGTAGATCTGGAAGGGGCACCCCATAGACAAAGTGCGTGTCTGGGGTAGCCGTGGCCAATGTTGGGGCATGACCAACTGGTGCTGGAAGTACAACACATCCATATGGTGGAGCCCAGTCATGGGTCACCTCAGAGGAGAACAGATACTTTTATTTCCCTTTCCTTCAGCAATCAAAAGCTCTGTGTTCTCCTTGCCAGCTCAGCTGGACAGGGCTGGCCATGACCTCCCGTAGCCAGGGCTTTGGTGGATTAAAGCTGCATTCAAACAAATTTCTGGGGTGTTTACATGCACTTTCCTCTTTAATCATTAACGCCTCTGTTGCCGTGTCTGTAATGTGCTCTTTTCAGTGTTGTGTTCACACTGTCTCATGTCTCACCCTGATACCTTGCCAACCATGGATGTCTTCCATTCATTGAGTTATATAACCCTGCAGTGTATCTCACCGACTCCAACAGCCCATGTTTTTCTGAACTAACTGAGGAGACATGTTCTCTAGCACTGGAACTCAAAGGAGAATGAATATATGTTTGTTCCTATCCAACCACCTCAGTGGCATATTGCTACAGGTGTACAAATATATTCCAGAGGGTAAAGCATGTTGCCTGTTATATCTGGGGTGGGGGGATCTCCTAATGATGTTTCAGTGGTGCCTATATCTCCAAATCTTACCCCGGGGGGTGGTAAGACATTGCCTTTCACCAACAACCAGGTGGTAGGAGAACACCTTCTGTTTCCAGCAGAATATATTTTCAAATTCTCTCTCTTTCTCTCTCTGTCGTTCTGTTTTTCAGTTGTTTTCTTTCTGCAACTTTTCTGACCAACTTTTCTCCTACGTGTGGCTTCATTATGCATTTTGCTGGTGTCTTTTTTTTCTTATTTACTTTGCCAGGATAGATATGATTGTGGGTCCCCCGCCCCCTTCAACTCCCCGGCATAAGAAGTATCCAACCAAAGGACCCATGTATTCTTCCAAAGAATCTCCCCAATACTCGCCTAGGTTAGGATTCACCAAAATGCTGCTTTCTTTGGATTTTTCATTTGCTTAATGTCAAACCCCTTTCATGCCAGTTATATGACGGCATTGATCACTTAGCAGTGCAGCTTGCTAAATCATGACTCAGAAGAGCTTGCTACTCTGGGTGTGCTCGGATTTACTTTCTGTAATGAGCTTTCACATTAGACAAAGGATTAAAAAAAAAAAAGGGACATTCATCCAGTCATCGATAACCATCAGTTTCTTCAACTGACATATTTTCTGTTTTCAGTCTTCTTCTAGGTATTAGAAAGCAAAATTATTTCTTTTTAAACTCTCATATTTTATAAGACTGTCTTCGAATGTAAAAGGTGAAATATTTCCCCACAAAGCCAATGTAAACTGAACGATCTACTTTCTAAAAGATGGAACGTTCCACGCACAAGCGAAGGAGCTTCTGTTTGCAGCTCTTTGCACTATGAAATGAGTTTACTTCAGTGGGCAAAGTAAGAATGAAGTGTTTCATACCCCATGAACACAGTGGTCACTTTTTTCTTGCTGATGCAACTCTAGTGACCTCAGAGGGGAAAAAAAGGTATTAAAATATTACAACCATGGGACTCATATAAAAAAATAAAAATATTTATTTTTAAAAAATCCTGATTTTGCAAGCAGGAGTCAAACCCAGCCCTCAGTCATGCAGCCAGATTTTTCTCATTGCCCTCAAGAAGTTCTCCCCTTAGGTAAAACCATACCTGAAGATGATGCTATGAGGAACTCAGTGAAGTGCCTATTTTAGGGCATTCTGAGGTCTGTTCA